TCTAGCATTTTTAAAATTTTGCACATGAATCTGAAGCAGTCTTCCTTTTCCTTCCTAGGCTATCACCATTCCTACCAATTCTGTGCTCTGAGGAAACAAACATTTGTACTAATGACCCTAGAAACCTATAAAAATATATACTATTTCCAAACATCACCACTGAGTTTACTAAGATAGCAACGGGGAGGGGCAGTTAGGAGTAACCAATGTAGAGGAAACAATTCTCAATCAATTTTCTTTCAAAATGTGTTTTTATAAATGCACCAGGTATAGGTCTTGATGACTGGTTACTCAGTGAGGTGCTAAAAATGGGCATGCTGAATGGATGCTTTTGCCATTGAAGTGAGACATACAACCATATCATTCATTAACTTAGGCATTTAGCTATCATTTAACATTCTCTTCTTGTAACAGAAACTCATAGCTTTCAAAGACTTGTGGCTATATCATCTTTCTTAAAAACAGAGTGTGTACCAATTATGATAATGACATTTATGTAATAAGTGAGTAAATCAAATGATTAGAATAAACTCTTTTTATGTTGTAGGTGCTATGGGAGGAATTACAGAGTGTCAAATATAACCATCCCAGCCTACATGATGCCTTAAAACTAGCTAAGAAATTAGAAATATACTATAAAATAACTATAAACAAACCTCAATGGGTGTGCAGAGAAATGAAAGATACTTTTACTTATGGATGGCAATTTAAGTTGCAAAGAGGAGCTTGTAAGTATAGAAAGGATTTTGACACATCATAGCCTAAAGCACATACAAGCATGAGCAAAGACACAGTGGTAGCAAGAAGAACAACAGTGGAACTATAGTTTTTTTTTGTTTGTTTGTTTTTTTTTCCGGTACCGGGAACCGAACTCACGACCTTGCGCTTGCCAGGCAGGCGCTTTTGCCGCTGAGCTAAATCCCCAGCCCCGGAACTATAGTTTTTGAGCTTTCTTTCTTATATTAATCATCTTTCCTGTTTCTGAGACACAATACCCAGCACCACAACTTAAAGGAGGAGATGTTTAATGTAGCTCATGGTTTCAGGGTATTCAGTACACGTTGGCAGGCTGCAAGTCAGAAACATCACTGCAGAAAGGTGTAGGGGTTCAAGGCTTCTTAGTTCCTCATGGCCAGAAAGAAAAACAGGGAGCAGCACCAGAGGAGGAGTGAGGCACCAGATATAGAACGCGAAGTCACACCCTCAGGACCTACCTACACAAATCCAGGAATTTGCTCCATCAAGCCTCTGGGTGGCTCTCAAGCCAATTATGTTGGCAAAACCAAGCTTACCTGTCTTGGTTCTGTTCGATCAAATTTCCTAGTTCATTTGAACTGCGTAGTATCTTCATAGTATTCTTCAATCCTACCCTGAAGTACAATTAGTAATAACTAAGAAACATACAATAATTACATAGGAAAGCTTAGATATGAGTCAAGGCCTTCAGGTTCTGTAGATTCTGTAGATTTCAGCCACTAGATTATATTCATGAGTTTTAATTAGCTTATTTGGGGGAATATTAGGTATAGATATAAGGGAGTTCAAGAGAGGTAAGACAGAAAACTCTGCAGAGTTAAAGTAGTGGAAGGAAGAGGGCTACTGCTTGCTTTCTACTTTAAGTATAAATAATATAATAAAGTAGAAGTTGTAGAGAATAGTAAAAACTTGGTTATTAATAAGTAATTTTACAAAGATTCTCTTTTTCCTTTTGTATATTCTTTCAGTTTGACTCCATGTGTGTATGTTTCTGAACACTTAGAATTTAAAAACTCATCTGGCTGAAATGTTTTGAGTACAGTTTCCCTTTTAAAATACTACTCAACAGAAATGTGTTCTAATGTTTTCTGACCTCTAAAAATTCTTGTTTCTTAGAGTATAATTCAATATTAATTTAGTTGAAAAAGTAAAGCAGATCTTCCACAATTAAGAAATGTTAGAAATAACAAGAAAATACATAGCAAAGAGCCATTAGATTTTTAGGAGTGAAAGAGAATACCAAATAAGGAAATGTTCTTGATGAGTAGCATGTTCAGTGTACATGTCCAGCATAGCATGAGTATGATGGACAACACAAGATCACACGAACAAGTTTTAGTGGTAGCGTGAATGCATTACAATAAATTAGGCTCTTTTCGTTTATGTTATAAAGAGTTAGATTCTGGAGGTAGGCCATTATGAATATCACAATTAAAAATCATTAGTAGTTTTTAAATTGTGGTGATGAAATTGTTGTTCTTTACTTTGAGTTGTCTTCATGGATTAAAAATCTAAGGAAAATATTTATGTTTCTTTCCTTCCTAGTAGTAGCAGCTATTGTATGAGATAGAATCATAAAAGAAAAAGAATTACATAATAATAGAGTCCAAAAAGGACCTACTAATTTTCAGCAACTTCATTAGTTTGCCAGTATGTGTGTTAATGTTGTGTCAACTTGGCTAGCCTATGATGCCCAGTTGTTTGATCAAGCACCAGAGATGTTACTATAAAGATGTTTGTGGATGAGATTGACATTCACAATTTTCTACTTTGAATAAAGCAGATTACCTACTATGATATGGGTAGGTATTATGTAATAGATTGGAGGCTTTAGAAAAAAACACTGAAGTTTTATGAAGAAAAAGTCCTTTTACCTCAGGGTATACCATAGAAGTCCTTCCCAGGTTCCCAGTTTGCTGGCCTGTCCTGCAGATCTTAGACACAGCAGCACTCACAATTACATGAGCCAATTCATAAAATAAATCTCTCTTTTTCTCTATGTACTGCTGGTGCTATTTCACTAGAGAAACCTAACTAATAGAATGGCCAAAGTAGAGCCCAGAAAAATTACCAATTTTTCTAATGTCATGGTAGTAAATGGTAGCAGGGTTGGTGACAGAAATCTGGGGAAATAGGGATATCAAATATTTCCAAAACACTAATTACAAAGCCAGGAAAGAAATTTAGAACTATTAGGTTTCAGGTCTGTCCTAATGGATAACTTGCAGAAAAAGGTAATGATTTATGCTAATATATTAAACAATCCTTAAATTCAAATAAGGAGAAAGGGTTACATCCTTTATCAAAAGATAGTACATGATTATTTACAAAGGAAACTTTGCTCAACATTTAAGGTGATTTAATTTTTTTAAAATATGTTTTTTGGTCAGGGATATAGCTCATCAGCAGCACAAGTGCCTGCCTGGCAAGTGTAATGTCCTGAGTTCTATTTCTGGTACCAAAATATAAAATAAAATAAAATAAAATAAAAATACATGCTTTATGAATTTTTTGGGACAACTAAGCTCAGCATATTTGGAGAAAGTGTGCTCTTGAAATGCATCATATTAAACAATATTTCCAAGATTCAGTAATTATTTCACCCTGTTAAAAAAGAATACTTTAAAAGGCAAGGCTATCTAAAAGTTCAAGAGAGGTAAAGACACACATAACTTCTCATTTCAACAAATATGTACACATTTTCTTCTGTACGTTTAACATTTTATAATGGAGAGACTGGAGCTTACAGAGACTGGAGGATTTGCTTAAATTACTCAGAGCCAGAGTAGCCAACACCCAGCTTTGTGCTTTGCTGTATAATGGTACCCTGAGAGTACCAGCATTAGCCAGATATGTGGTGATTATAAGACTACTGACCAAGAATCCTATATTGAGAAAAATTCTCATTCTAATTAAAAGGACAAGTGTGTTCTGCTGTGCTAGCATGAACATTAAGATTTGCATGAGGAAAAAAAGCCCACACATCCCATTCTCATCCCTAAAGGTAGCCCTCTTATGTCCTCTTGAACCTATGAATTGATCGTATGAAGAGAATGGAAAATGTGATCAAAAGGATACGGCATCATCTCTCCTCTTTCCTATCGTGTTCCCCAATTGACAGGGAATATCTTCTGGTCTCAGCATCCTTATACAAAGTAAGCAGGCTCTACAGTTTAAAAAAAATGCCAATAGGTTTGCTGAACTGACATGATTATTCATAGGTTTCATAGCTCTGTCTCTTACCTTTGTTTTTTATTTCTCCAGCCTCATAGCATTTCTTTTAGGAAAACAGTAATTTACACACCACTGTGTGAAAGAATGGAACTCCATTCTCTTGGCTGCAAAGGCCCAGAACATGTTTAGTTCATCTAATATATTCAGCTTAGGACCGTGCTGGTCCCATCACATTGGTAAGACTTGCTCTCTCTCCTCGGTCTCATTTGAGAGCAGGTGGACCCAGACAGTCATTTGGAAGTTCAATGAGTGATTTCTCTTGAGAGAAGTACAGCTCACTAGTCTGCCAAGGAAGGAAAATTCAGTCTTTGAATTGTGCCAAATACATTCCACCAAGTGCTCCTGACAATTGTAGCATGTCAGTGGGAGACGTGGCGGTGTTCTTCCATTACCAGGCTTCAGTCTTGCCCTCAGTGCCATGAAACCAGAGAGGACATAGACAGCTTTCTTCATAAAAATGGATGTTTCCTGCTTCAGTGCTTCTTTACTATGGGAGCTCTGCAGCAGGATATCAGGGCTTAGTTACAATCGCCTAGAATTTACTGCCTGTCCTGACACCACATCTATTAGCTATTTCAAACATTAAGCAAAGTGGTGAATGAAGATCACCATTTTGTATAAGCAGGGCTGTGGGCTCCTGCCCAGAAGAGGCATAACCTGTTGTTTAAGGGCTTACAAAAAAAGAGCCCTCTCTGGTAAGAATGGAAAGTCCTGAAAGCCAGCCTTCAAGTCTGCTACTGAGGAGGCAGTAACGTGCTGAAGACTGCTAGGATTCAAGGTTCAGCCTCCAGACTGCCTTTCACGCAGACACGTCCGGGAAGTCACACCAAAAGACGGAGCAAGAGCGTGGAAGGAGCAGCTTGGTGAATCAAGTTTTTAAAAATGAAAGATTAAGAATAAGGAGCCGAGGGAGGCTGCAGAGCGGCAAGGAAAGGCAGAGACACCTAGGAGGGTTGAGGCTGGAGGAGGGAGGAGGAGGGAGGGAAGGCAGAGACATTGGAGCGCGGACGTCAGGAACAAAAGCTCCCGTGGAGTCTGGCGAGGCACTCGGGGAGCACGGGGTGTTTTGAATAATTATTAAAATTAGCATGTGTCTGCGCCATCCTGTGGGTGTGGCGCAGAGCGGAGTGTAAACTCCAGCCGGCTCGAGCAAACATTGGATTAGCTGCAGCAGCCTGCCAGCCTGCCAGCCTGCGAGGAGCGGGACCAGAGCGCGGCCGCCGACCTGCACGATGGCCTCGTCTCAGGGGAGGGACGAGCTGAAATTCGCCGACTGGATGGCAGCTCTGCCGGAGAGCATCCACAGCATCCCCCTCAGCAATCTGGCCATCCCAGGTAGGCGAGGCGCGCGGGGCTGCTCGCCCGCTC